CTCGGGAGTTTCCCGAATCAAATAACAAAAACTAAACATTCGCATCACCGAGAATTAGTTTGAAGATTGTCGAAATTCAGAGATTACAATAATAATGTTTACGATAAAATGTACTTTTCGTCATACTGACAACGATAGGAATATTGTCGAGTTTTCTTGTGCATTCTTGACAATGTTAGGGCCCCCTCAATCGCGGGGCCCCGGTGCACAGCATCCGCCGCACCCCCCCGATGGCCGGCCCTGCATTAATCTATATGAGTTATACAGAGACTCGTGTAAGAGAGGTTGCAGCCGAAGTTTTCATCTCTAAAACGTTTACGCTAGTACCAGTCAGACGTGAAAGTCAGGATTTCTGTTTGAACAATGAAAACACAAAAAATTATCAGTAGCAAAGAACCAAATTTGTACTACAATTCGTATAGAGCAAATTGGTCATTTTTTAAAAAATCTTAATTATTGATACTTTTATTATTAATTTAAAAATTCGCAAAATTAACAAATCCAGATCAAGCCTAGCATCGCGTTTCTCAGCTTCATCAAGAATTGAAAAAAACTTAATATTTAAACAATTAGCAAAAGTACTATTTTTAACAGAAAAATCCTGATTAAGGTGCTTATACTTATTAGATATGCATCTATAATAAATTCACACATTAATTAAAGACAAATGTTTCGTTTAGAAAATGCTTACGTATTTGTTATTTGCACAAGAAGTCAGAACAAATCCGTTACCTGTTGTTACATGGAAATGTTAGTTTCTTAACTGTAAAACTCTGAAACAGCACTGAAAACTTCAANAGCACTGGCACTGAACGTTTCGCTTCATGCAGTCTATTTTGCAACTTTTTTTAAAAATGATGTCAATCCCGAAAATCTCGGGATTAGGAAAACTTAATCCCGAAAATTTTGGGACTGAAAAGTGGTCGGGATTCCGGGATCCCGATTTTCGAGATCCCGGGATCAAATCCTCTAGTCAGAACAAATCCGTTACCTGTTGTTACATGGAAATGTTAGTTTCTTAACTGTAAAACTCTGAAACAGCACTGAAAACTTCAAAAATTGATGCTGTCGGGTGTTCTTGGTTTGTAGAAAATTCTATTTCCAGAATTATCATAAAATTTTCTCACTTAAGCCACAAAACCACGTCAAGGTGACACCCACTTTGTGGTGGTTTTTTTTGTTTCCAGAAACCAACCCTACTTGCTAGACAGCGTAGCAAGTAGAGAGAAAAACTGGATCGCGCGCGAAGTGTATGTATTGTAAGAGCTTTATTTAGCGATTATTTATCGTTTGGGATTTCGCAAGGATATGGACTTTCAATTGCTACAACGGTTGAGTTCCCGGGTCCCACGGAAGTGCAATCGTGCTCCTGGGCACTCAACCGTTGTACTAATAGAAAGTCCATAGCCTTGCGAAAGTCCAAACGATTAGACTCGGCCAAGTAAATCTTTTACAATACGGAAACAATATTTTTCATTGTCTTCCGAAAAATATTGTTTCTTTAACAATGTAGATGGAAACAATGAATATGCTTATTTATTAAATTTTTTATGTGAAATATTTATGAATTAATAATTTTATTTTTTATTTTGAAATTACTGTCATATTATACAGTATTTAAATATTCTTATTTTTGTACAATAGCAAATAGTTGTTAGTTGTAATAGTAGAATTGTCCGGACGTTGCCACGAACATTCAAATCAGATATTTTTTATTTATTTATTTAAGTATTCAATTGAAAAACTGACTTTTTTACATTACATTTATAAGCATTTTAAAAAATAAAATGTTGCATTTGTAGAGTAATTTATTTAAAATTAAAATTTAATATTATCATCATTTATCACATACAGTACAGTACTTCCATGACACTCTCGTCTGTCCGCTACAACTGCCAAGAATTAACGCGATTGGCGAAGCGTAGTGACAGCGGGCCAATAGAGAGCAGGATCTTTGCCATAATGCGGTTTGCGCGCCAATTTTCGTACGTGCGTTAATCGAGCCGAATATTCGGTATTCGGCCTGAGGCCGAATATACTATTCGTTACAACACTAATTTTTATGTAAAATTTAAGCTGTTACATATTTATTTGTATACCGAAGACATCGTAATATCGCATCCTACATACCTTGTATAATTTGAAACTTGTCATAGATACAGTATATATGTAATAGGGTAATGACACTAGTAGTCGACCGTTTAAAGCTATTTTGAACTTCGATATTTTTTATTATGATGTATAATAACGCAAAAAGCAAAATTCATATACGAAAATAAAGTTTGTTCTATACTGTACTTGTAATGAAAAAGTAAACGTTTTTTATTTGGCCTTTGTTTTAAATTATAAAAAAAAAATAATTAATTGCACCCAGTAGTTGGCCATGAAATTCCCAAGTCTGACCACTGATATTCTGTTGTCAACCACATAAGCCAACTGTAATGTTTATTCAGTTGGATAAGTGAAAAATCTTACACGTGAATATTTGTGAATTATAGTTTACTACACCAACTTCAACTTACATCGAACATTCAAATTTACGGTGGTAGTAAACCCAGTAGTCGATCACCTCATTACTTACATATTAGATCAGAATTGACTCAAATTGTTAGCTATGGCAAATGCTTTGATAGTTACCACCCATAAAAACAAGTAAGCGAGTTCAATAATAAGGGTTCTGTAGAAAATGCACACCTGAAACACACAACCTGTTATCTTTTAAAAAAAAACCTGACAATACCTTGCGTGGTCGACTACCAGGTGTTGCACAATAATTTTTCCCATCTTGAGTGAGGCAACCTGTTATTCTTAGATACCACTGAGAATTGGATCATCTTATGCTTCCTGTGAATATAGCTTGCTTAAACCTGTTCAGATGGACTAATTATGGATGGATTTCAGCTTAGATGGTCAACTACAGTACTGAAAGCTGTCTGCAATAGGAAACCCTACCCTATTTTCTCATTCGTTTGCATTAGTCAGTAGAACTAATTTCTAACATTAATTCCGCATCCGAGCTTTTTTACATCAATTGGAAGTAAAAAGAGTGATGTCAAAGTGTAAAATATACGTCCAACTGATATAATTTGTTTCTTCCATGAAATGTTGAAAAATTAGCATTCATTTAAACATAGCAGTGTGTGATAACTTATGTTCACTAATTTTTTGTTTTTTTTTTGTGAATTGAAAGAAAATGTTTAATTTATATAATTATTTTTACAGAATATCTGATCTAAATTTTTAATTAAAACAAAAAGTAAATGACATTTTAATGTTGGAATGAATAACAGATATATCATAAATACTTAGTGTTAAATTTATGAGGACTAAGGAAATGTAAATAATTGTTATAAAAGCATTAGACTATCCAAAAGTAAATGTGGAAATAACTAACCCACTGTTTCATGGCTAACAACTCCCGTTCATTTAATGAAAGGGTGAATTGATAAAAACTCCACCTTTAAACTGTGATCTAAACTTTAGATGACCTAACATTTCATAACATACAGTAATATTTTGCATCCTTTTTGTTAACAGTGCAAAACATTTCACAAAATATATACAAAACTAATTAAAGATCAGTTTCTTGGTAAATGTTAGGAACTAATTTTATCTGAATGTTGAGCCTCTTCATACTTTCATTATCAACAAATTAACTGATAGTTTATCTAAATATTACTGTTCAGAACTGTTTAAAACTTCCAGAAACTTTCATTAAATTGAAAATACTCTAAATATTTAAACTATGGTTTGATGTTTCTCAATACTTAACTCTTGAAGATGAGTTGGTTCACCTAAGAATATCTCAAAATGCTTTGTAATTAAATGCTTTATGAAGGAAATAAAGATTTTCTGTTGACTTTACCAAATTAGTCAAACTTTTAGAACCATGATTTGTTCACCTCAAACAGGTACTAAACTGTTTGAAATCAAACCGAACTACTTCTAATAATTATTAGTAATAAGTTTACATACAAGTTTAAGTTTGAAAATCACATGTGTTTAGTGATAATGCCATTCACAACAACAAACTTTACATTACATAATTCACAAACATTGAAGGGCATTATTTTTGGGGAAAGTCTATTCACAAAGGCAGAATTCATTTGTACTATTTAGGAAGGTGTCATAGCAAGGTTTTATGCATCTTTCAATGCATTTTCAGTTTTCAAAAAGAAAAATATTCAATTATTTCATCTAAAAGACAGTAAGTAGATAAAACTTGGATATTGGATCAAAAAAATATGAAAAATTCTATTTAAATAATATATCTGTAAACAAGCAATTATTTATTGTGACATTGTCACAATGCTGGGTTGCAATTTTTAATTTATTAAAAATATATGCTCGCCACCTCAAATTAGTTGTGGCATGCCCTGTATGTCACACTTTTCCTTTAACAATATAGTCATGCCAATCATTAACTGCTTTCAGGAGAAGTTTTGAATTAAAATAATGTAACTTTCAGTTTGTATATAGTTAACCGGGGCCTCCTGCCCCTAAAATTTCCATATGTGGTCTCGGATTTCATCTATCTAACTCCATTCTCAAGATTAAGAAAAGTGGAAAGACAGATAACAGTGGGAATTTATAGGTCTACAATTTTTTCAAATTGCAGCCAACTAGAAAGAATATGATAAATTTAATAATGAGAAAAACTATTTTAGTAGTCATTTTTCATAAATTTATTTTGAATAAAACCACAAAATATAATGAACAAAAAAAAACCACAAAAGTGAACATTAAAACAATAATTTTATTTCACTTTAGCTTACTCGCCATTTTTATTTTACAGCATTTTTGACAGTTATGACAAAACTATTCACTACTTAATGAGAAAAAACATTGCAAAGTTATTCTAATTTTTATCTTAGAATAAAAATTATTAAATTTTATCAACCTTTATCCAGAAAGATTGATTACTTTGCTATTATATATTTCAAGTATCGTCATTCCTTAAGAGTGCCTACTTTTTTAATAATGAACTGTATGCCTAAGAAATTATTCATCCTATTTTTTTTTTTTTACATATCTCTATATTAAGTTAGATAATATATGTAATATGTTTAAATGACTATAGAGAGGAGAACATTTTATTTGTATTTCATTGTCTGAAAATTTTTTTTATATATATTAATGGAAAACAATGCACAAAATGGTTTTTAATAAAATAATAATAATAAAAAATTGAATGAAAATTAAAAAAGTATTTAAGAAATGAAAATAAAATACAGCACATGTTCTATAGCTCTTAACACACATACATTTATAAGTGGTGTGCTATAATAGTAAATAATTTTACAGTTTTGTATTTATGCAGGTGCCCTATCGATCTCTGTGTTCATGGAACCTTCTTCACCTGGAACAGGACCCGCTTCTAAAGAATCTCCTACCATAGTTACATCATTTTTTTCATTTTCTGCTCCCATCCAAACTCCAGTCTTTAGAGATCCATCTTGATTTTTCTTCATCTCCTTATCAGAAAAAACTTTATTTAAAATTCTTATTTTATTAAAGCTTGTTTTTTAAGTTACTAACACTTACTTCTAAATCTTGTTTTGCAAACTTTTCAAACATATTTCGATATGTTTTACGTTCCTTATCGAGTTGTGCTTTAATCTTATTATTGCAATTAAGAATTTGATTATGAGCTGCTTTATTTTTTGGATCTATGCTTAACACTTTCTGAAAGTCTTTTTTCGCCAACTCAAATTCATTCTGACTAAAATATGCCTACAAAAAAGATATTTTAAAATTTAATTTTATACAAAATTTAACAACAATAACAAAATTCTGTTTATGAACTAGGGCTAACCATTCCCCTCCGAAAGTATCCTTTTTCATTCTCCGAGTCTAGTTCGATAGCTTTGTCACAATATTTGATTGCTTCTAAGTAATTATTCAATTTTAAATTGCACATTGCTAAATTGAGATATCCAGCTAACATAAGAATATTTCTTTTCTTCGTATCATCATCTGATAATGATGTTTCATATTCAAGAAAATCAATTATCTTCTTATATTGTTTAACAGCTAGATTATATTTCCCTGCCTGTAAAAAAAGTGAATGTTTTATTATTATACAAAATTATTTCAATACAGCATTTACAGTAAAAATTGTTATTTTTAAATTAAATATGAATAAATTTGAGTGAAATTTAAATTTATTATTATTCATAAATTAATAGTTTTACCTTAAAATAATTCGTTCCTTTATTTTTTGATATTTCTGACTGCTCCAATTTTTCATCACTATCCATTTCCCATGAACCCTTAGTCTTACAAAAAAATAAAACATACCAACATTAATATGCATAATTATTTAAAATTTAATTCAAATACATTTTAAATATTAAATTACTATAAAAACACACTAAAAAACTAAAATATAAAAGTATTACAGAAAATATATATCAATTTCTACCTCTTGGATTATTTTAAAATTTTATATTAAAATATTTTTTAACATACATGGTCAAACAATGCCTTAATTAAATAAAAAAAAATTAAAATGCAGTAATTATACGACATATCAAAATGATCCAAGCACCAAAATATGGTAAAACGATAAAAGTTTTGGAGTGTGAGATGCCATTGATCTTGAGATGTGCAGTGCATTTGTGTGTATATATATATATATATGAATTTGTATATACTATAGAATAAATAGAATTTGTATATGCTAACTCTTAGCCTTGTTCTTGCACTCAGTCATGTGGCCCATGAAATAGAAAGTGTTGTTTGTTTTACAATAAATTAAATTGAAACCAGTTGTAGCAGTTCAATGTATGTGGCAACAGTTATATTCTGGACAAACAGCATTAGATTGCAAAGCATTTATTAATCATTGCTTGCAACAGTTCAGAAAATTGGAGAAGTACCACAAATAAATCTACAGGCTAACCAAATACTTTGGAATAATGTGTCAAACACATTAGACTATGTGGTGTAAGGATCCTTAAAGCAATTTTTCATGAGAGAAATTGATTCCAAAAACTACAATTCAAAACGTCCTTCACAAGCATTTTCACCTTCATGCTTCCAAGATTTTGCTGAAGCATGACATTAAACCTGATGAACAGTATACATTAAGAATTTCCCACTTTAATGCTAAACAAAAAATCCAGAAAACTTTCATGGCAACAACATTTAAAACCATGTTTGGCACCATCTGTTATTATATTTTATTAAAATAACTTTTTATATTTTTATTATAAAATAGCAAGAAGCTTTAATTTTGAGGATATGGACAAGTTTTATAAAAAAAATTGTAAATGCTAATAACAAGTAAAATCATCAAGTCTGACCCTATTTGAGATATGACACACAATTCACTCTATTTCCCCACCTCTGACCTTTAAACACCAAGATTTAATAGCATCAATCCCCTAATACATAAACCTAGAAAATTTCAGAAATTTTCAATGAAAGGCATGAAAGTTATTAAGTTTCAAAGTGGATGAACAAAATCATGCCTACACACACAGTAACAACTATACATAAAAAAAACCCTGAATTTTCTTGTATTTCTCTATGTTTTAAGGTCTTGAGTCCAAAATGATAAAAATCTTGGAGATCAATTTTTTACTGATTACTATACTTTTCCTCTTATATATAATAGCCAGGAAAGTAAAAATGATGATAAAACTTTTCTATTTCAGGTTTTATTCACAGACTAAAACCTAGTCATCATCCAGATTTTATCATAATGGACAGTGTTGTGGGGATATATCAAAAACATTGCATATGCTGAAAGGATTTGGGGGTCAACATCTAATTATTGTATGAAAATGACACAATAGAACAAATTTCTGGTTTTTAAAAGTATATGCATTATTTATTAATCTAAAAATTATAATGATTATAAAAATGTAAAAATATATGAGAAAACATTACTCTCTTCATAAAATTCTCATTATATATAGAAATTTTATTTAAAATAACCAATATAACTTTATCCAATAATTTTTTCTAAATTTCTATTTTTATATATTAATTTTCACTAAATTCAAATATTAAAAGCTTGATTTAAAGAAAAAAAAAATTAGTATTCTTAAACTCTAAACCAAATGTTGAAGCTTAAGATTGATATTCAAACTGACCAATATAATGTAAAACTACAAGCTAGAATTTATAATTTGCATCAACCATATCTTGATGAAACTGTATGTGTGTCTGTGTGTGTGTAAAATATTAGTTTTCTATAAATTAATATAATAATAATAATTATTTTTATTTTTGTAATTGTATTCAGAAAGATAAATTCTTATTTCTATTGACAATATTTATTTTTGAATTCAAAATCTATCTTTGATTACACTGTTCATCTTAATCACTGGATGCATATATTGTTTAGGATAAAAACTGGACATAATACTAATAAAGCTCAAAAATAGCCCATTCATCATGCACTACTAGTCTAATGTAGGACCACTATTAATCTTATGCTGAGAAATTTTAAATTTGAGTTTTACAACAACAACATTTTATAGGAAAATCATAGAAGACAGAAGAAAATTAGAAATGTGAACTGCAAGAACATAATACAAAAAAGTTCATAAATAGCCCACTGAAAGATCATTGGAACATATGGTTATAAATCATAAATTNTTGGCACTGTCTTTCTCTCAACACATCATCTCCATACATGTACCACAATTTTTTCCTTGCTTGAACAGTATTTTGATTTTTCGGTAATAAAAAAGCAAAATATGTTGAAAATGATACTTTCAACCTTCCATGTTTGATGGGAACAAAAAATAAACAATTGCACAAAATCGAACAAAATTTTTTACAAATAAGCCTTAAAACGCTAGCTGTCAAAATATATAATGATAATACGGTTTAGAATGAAAATGGCAGGAAAAATACGACTAATCCATCTAGAGGTAAAAAAAACAAACTTACTTTCCGAACAACCTAATAGATTTATAATATAGTACAAATAGTCTAAAATAAAACATATCATTTTATAAAAAATAAATAAAACTGGTAATCTACTGACTATTTGATTATTAAAACATATTATAGGTCAATTGATCAATCAATAAAAGTGTAAGCAATGCATTCTAATATTTATGAAAATAATGAATTATGAAAATTATTTATTTATTTACAGAAAGATCAAAAGATAATCAAACTAATACAATTAATAATAAATTTATACACACACAATAATAAAATATTGTCTATACATAAATTTCATTTTATTTTTGTTAGAATAACAATGTTCAGGTACCATTTGAAAATAACCAAACTTTATATATACTGGATGTTCATCTAAACATCTGTCCAGGGCAAGAGAGATCTTTCCAGTATTACATGAATGTAAGCATGGGGTGCATGATTGTTCCAGTGCTGAAATAACCAATACTTAAATGTCTTTCCAGAGGCAAAACATTAATTAATTTAAAAGATAACATTAAGCAGTGTGTTCCACAAATAGATGATACCCTAAATAACATTTAAAAATCTTAAATGTGACAGTGGATGAACAGCTAATGACTTGCTATTGGCACAACTACAGCAGGTTTGATACCAGCACAATGGTGCACCACCTCATTCCCAGACAGGTATCATTCAACAGCTTGCAGAATGGTTTGGCAACCACTACATAGGACAACCTGGCCCTGTTCCATGACTGGGTTGTTCTATGTAGTGGTGTCCTGTTCTATGGCCGAAACACTCCCAGACTTGGACCCCTGTGGGTCTTTTCTGCAGAATTGCCTAAAAGCATTGGTAGAGCCCACAATCCTTCATGTCCTTCAATACGGAGACTGATCAAGTTGAAATGATTAGAATTAGAACAGAATTATTTTCAATGAATTGTAATTTGTAATTTATATATTTTAAGTTAAATCACATGGATAATACAAGATTATAAAAGATCAAGTGCCATAATCTGCCAGTCTGATATTTTGGGCAATTAGAAAAATGTAGCATATAATGAGTTCATGCATTCTAATTCAGGATATTGAGAAAAAAACAAGACAAGTTTTAAACATATATAATAACAATTTAAATGCACATGACATCAGTATAGGCAATGATTTTGCATATTATTCTGAAATAGAGGCAAGTAAATAAAATAATAATGACAAAGCTTATTTTCTTTTATTCCAGAACGTCTATCAATCATTGCAAACAAGTTAGATTATTTTTCAAAATCAATTTCTTGTAATATACTGTGAAAAAGAAAAGGCAGTTAGCTAAGGCTGGAACAATTGTCAAGTTAGGTGATTGATGATAAGTAATCAGGATTGTATAATCATCTAATTGAAAAGTTAATCATTAACTAATTGTTATCAAGCATTTAATATATAAACTTTTGATTTTTATAAAAAATTTTTTATACAGCCTTTTTTAGTTTTAACTTTTTATAATACTAATTTTGCTTAGTAGCTGTCAACTAAACATATATTTTATTATTTATTTCCAGTTTAAAGTTGTATGAAAATATTGAAAAATAAATTACATAATCATCCTGATCAATTTGGGTTACTACTATTAATTTTAGTAGTCAGCGATTTAGTTTGTACACAAAGAAAAAAAAGGCTTTTATTGTTTTGTTCCCCCAAGACCATTTGTTACATGCAGGCATGTAGCATGATGGCACCACTGCAATGAAAAAGGGTCAGTATGTTTTTATATTAACATAATAAAGGAAATCATCTTAATTAGCATCCCATCCATACACTGTTTTAACAAGCCTGGTTATTTGATATGCAAGATGTTAAAAATGGGAACTGTATGATTGGCTATATAAGTTACTCAAAACTGATGCAGCTGATATGTAAAAAACAACTCTCTTCATTGGCTACACAGGATTCTTAAATTATAAATGCTTGGAGTGCTATGCCCTCTCTCTTCCTATGCTCCCTTAATGCCTCTGGTAGGTCACCTCCTATTCTCAGATAACCTAATACAGTATTTTCATGGAATATCTGGCATGCCACATATAAATGGAAGATCAGCATACCAGAAACCTCAAGGTTACCAGTATGCCAGTTAAAATGAAACTAAAATATAAAATTAATCAGATCTAACAAAACTAGTTGCTAATTATAGATTTATATAACATTCTTCCAAATACAATAAAATAACAACATTGTAATTTGACTGACTTAAAATCAGGAAGAGAATTTTCATTTACAAGACAATAAAACAATTAACTTATATTGACATTAGCAGTATTAGTTAGTCAGTGGCTACACTGATCTTAAAAATAACACCCACCTCTCAAATTTCACACAAAGCTGATGTTAATTGGTGTCCAGAT